CACAGGACAATTAGAAACCAGTTGGAACTCAGGTCCACGAACATGGTATAGCTCCTATTGACTCACGGCTCCTTTACCTCTTCCCAGCAATGCTCCGAAGCCGACAGAATTTAACTATGGCTGTTCTTTTGCAAAAATTTCTTACTTCTTGGTTTTAGATGTTACTGCATGTAGCAGGAATCTTAAAGGTCTTATTAATAAAATCAAACCTGAAGCCAGGTATTGGGGTGAATGCTGGAAGATGAGAGAAGCAGAACAAGCCACAGCCACCTCACTTCACCAATTCCTCAGCTGATCCTGTTTCCTCAGACTGGAAGCCTCTCAGTCCTCATCCAGCATGAATCTCAGCTGAACTGTTGCTCAAAAGCCTAAAAGCTTAACAGGCTCTAGTTTCTGGTCCTCATGCCTCATATATCTTTCTGCTTCCTGCCATCACTTCCTGGGATTAAAGGCCTGTGGCACTATGCCTGGCTGTTTCCAGTGTGGCTTTGAATTTACAGAGATCTGGATGGATCTCTGCCTCCAGAAGGCTAGGATTAAAGGTGTGAGTGCCACCATTTTCTGGCCTCTATATCTAGTGGCTGTTCTGTTCTCTGACCCCAGATAAGTTTATTAAGGTGCGCAATATATTGGGGGACACAATATCACCACAATTGTATTTTTTTTTTAAATTATTATTATTATTATTATTATTATTATTATTATTATTATTATTTTGTGTGTGTGTATGTGGTTATGGTGGTTTGAATAAGAAGGGCCCCTATGGACTCATATTTGAATGCTTAGTCACCAGGGAGTGGCACTGTTTGAAAGGATTAGAAGGATTAGGAGATGTGGCCTTGTTCAAGGTGGCCTTTGACGTTTTAGAAGCCCATGCCAAGCCCAGTGTCTTTCTCTCTGCCTGTGGATCTTGATACAGAACTCTCAGCTACTTCTACAACACCATATCTGCCTGTATGCCTTCACTCTTTCCACCATGATGATAATGGACTAACATCTGAAATTGTAAGCAAGCCCCCAACTAAATGCTTTCTTTTTTGACTCGGTCATGGTGTCTCTTCATAGCAACTGAACAGTGACTGAAACAGTGGTACTAGGCACTGAGCTGGTATTGTGCACACAGTGGGCAAGAGCTCTGCCACTAACTTTTGGCTTTACACTGAGGCCCAAGCTGGCCTTACACTTCCTCTGTAGCCCAGGGTGCCTGTGCTTACGATCCTCCTGCCTCAGTCTCCCAAGGAGCTGGGATTACATGCCCATATTACCAGCCTAGCCTGGACTTTATTATCAATGCTACTTCGGAAGATCTCATTTTCTGACAGTTTCTGCAGCACGGAACACAGTGTGAGATGGCTCAGTGGGTAAAGGGACTTGTCACCAAGCCCGATGACCTGAGTTGGTCATTCTCTTCTCTCTCTCATGACATTTGACATTTGAGAGGAAGTTGGCAGGTAATTTTGAAGCCTGCCCCCTAGGGGGTTTGCTGATGTCCCTCATCATTAGATCAGGGCTCAGCAGAGTGACGTCAGGCCTCTCAGATCTCCATCCAGAACAGATCCCTCCAAACCCTCCATCAACTTCCTTTCCTTCTGCTTGGCGTGGTCTCAGCTCTGCTTGTCCCTCCCCAGGGCCATAGCCAGGGATGCTGCCCACAGAAGCCAAGGCTATGAAGCTGCTGAGGATCTCTGCAGACTATGAATCCACACCACCTGTGTGAGCTGACAGCAGCTGCATCTTACAGCGAGGACAGCGGCCTGGGCCAGCCATGCACCCCTGAGGATGTGGCTGTCCTAGTCCTGGCTCAGTCTCCCACAGGCCACAGATGCTGCGGCTTTTCCTCTCCTGTGAGGCACCACCTCATGACTACAGGACTCTGAGACTCAGCTCCAAGGGATCAACCAATTTTTGGGCACACAAAATGCCATCAGAAGATGAAGTCTTGAGGGCTGACTTTTGAGCAGGGGCTCTCTGTGATCCTGCGGTCTCAGGTCGGTGCCAGTCCACAATGGACTCGAGGCTACCATCACTCTATTACCACAGCACCCACTGAAGCTTCCCACTGAAGCAAGATGAATAATATCCAACCTAAGACTGTATCAAGTAATTACACCTTTTAGTGCACCTGGCAATTTTTAATCCAGCTGGTGCTAGCAGTCAATCAAAATGCCATAAAAGGGCTTCAGAATGTGCTAATGACTCGAGCACTCTGTCAGGCATCATGGGGGTGCATTCAACTCTTGGCACCAGAGTGGTGCATGGAACAGCCTTAGAGCTTATCCATACAACTCAGCTTCTCTAAGGGCTGTGCTTCTCCACACAGGCCAGCTTCTCTACACAGCTCAGCTTTTTCTCTAGAGCTTAGCTTCTCCATCTAGTTCATCTTTTCAACAGGGCTGGGCTTCTCTACAAAGCTGGGCTTTTCCACAGAGCTGGGCTTTCTTCTCCACAGATCTGGACTTCATACTGCCACAGAGCTGCCTTCCACATAGAGCCTTTTGAAACTTTTGAAAAGAGTCAGGCTCATTAACACCAGCCAGGAAAGGACACTAAGCTTGTGGCCCCCTCAGCCCGCCAGGAATAAGTGGAGGACAGCAAAGCATTCAGTGCCCCTTTCCAAGGGGCACTTTGGCCTTGGAGACAGCAGCATACAGCAGTATGCTCGCAGTGCAGACTGGGGCCATCACTGTGGCCGGGCAAGCACTGGATTTCACCCGTCTTAGTTACCACTGGCCAATGCTGACTCCACATAGCTTTCTTAGGGTTTCTCACAGACACTGGAGACAGTTGGGGGACATGGGTAGATGTGGTGGGTCACAGCTGAGGTCTCTCCAGGAACCCAGCCACGAGAGCAGAGGAAGAGCAAAGTTACAGTCACAGAGGGTTATGTACCAGGAGACCTGCTTCAGACAACAAGCATGTGAAGAGCATCTGGAAACCAGATGACTTTCTTTTTTTCAAAAACTAATTTATTTATTTGTTTTACGTGCATTGGTGTTTTGCCTGCATGTATGTCTGTGTGAGGGTGTCAGATCTTAGAGTTACAGACAGTTGTGAGCTGCCATGTGGGTGCTGGGAACTAAACCCAGGTCCTGTGGAAGAGCAGCCAGTACTCTTAGCTGCTGAGCCATCTCAGCCCTAATCAGCTGACTTTCAATGTTCATACATAAAAACACAAAGCTACTGGATCATTTTGGTCCAGAAATGACTTGTCAGGTGCCCTGATCACCACGGCCATGTGTGCACTACCTGAGCTTCATAGGATAGAACATCCTTGGGGGCAAAAGCACCCGGGCCAAGGCCAATGCTGCAGACAGTGTGGAGAAAGGGGCTTAGCCTGTCATGGCCACATGTACACATGTGCACACGTGCCCGCGGAGGCAAAAGGGACCCTCCTGTGTGTTTCCTTCACTGAGGCCCACACCATATGCAGTGAACTCAGTAGAAGATGGTGAAGAAGAAGGGGATACTCATACTCTGCGAGCTTAGCTCACCTGAGACTCGGCTGCCTTCATCCACAGTGCAGGCGGTGTCCTAATCAGCTTTAACCATCAACGGGATAGCCTAGAGTCACTGAAGAAGAGAGTCTCAATGGAGGGATTTCCCAGATCAGATCTGCCTACAGACATGTTTGTAGGGGATTGTTAAATGACACAGGAGAGCCAACCCACAGTGGGCAGCTCCATTCCTAGGCAGGTGTTCCTGGGCTGTATAAGAAAGCTGGCTGAGCATCAGCTTCAGAGCAAGACAGAAAAGAGCATTCTTCTATGGTTTCAGTTCTTGCTTGAGTTCCTGCTCTGACTTTCCTCAGTGATAGACTATGAAGTGTATACCAATAAACTCCCTCTTCCCCTAAACTGCTTTTGGTCAGAGTGTTTTATCTCAGCAACAAGAATCAAACCAGAACAGAAGATACACAGTGCTACTTGAGCACCAGTTCTAGTCAAGATTTGTAGCATAGGAAGAGCCTCCCGCTGCTAAGCAATACCCAGAACAGTCATGAGGTCACCAGAAAAGCCTGAAAATCTGGGCAGTCAGAGAAAGATGCAGAATGTTCTAGACTGAAGGAGGTTTTGGCTTGAAGAATCCTGCTCTCATATGGGAGCACCCTGCTCACATGATTCAGCGACCCATTCTTTGTGATATACCTTAACTTCTCTGCAGGCTTGGGTTGGTCCCCTCAGACAACATAAAAGCAAGCAGAGAGATCCATGTAGAGAGAACCTGTCCAATAAGGCTGAAATATGGGAAAGCTAATACTATGTAATTCTAGAAGAACAGAGATCTCATCAAAGAGCGGAAAACAGGAGGAAGCAGGGCCACGTTCTCCGTATAATCCAGAGGTCAAAAGGTCAAAAGCAGACACCTCACTCTCACTTCAAAGTTTCAAATCATGTGTCTGAAAGTTTCAGCAGTGCACATCGGTGGAAGTGAAAGCATCAGGACACAGCAAGGATACAGGGTTGGGGTGGGGAGGCGCCGACTTGGGTAGAGCAGCCCCGGAGCAGGCAAGGGCTGTTGACCACACAGGCTGTTAAATGATCGTCATGCTGGACTAGAAAATTTTGAACACATCTGGCTTATGTGAGAGACACTCCTAGAAGCAAGCAAGCTGGGGACCCAACAAAAAGGTGAGGCTACCAACGCATCTCAATGGCACGTGACCTTCAGCATTCTTGGAGACATCCAAGACATTCTGGGAGAGGACACGGCTCTTTCCCAAGTCTCCTTCAGGAAAGGACTCAAAGTTGTGGTTGCTTCCCACAGAAAATGGCTGTGAAAGTGGCTGGTGGAGCTGATGAGTGGACTGTTCCCAGCAGGCCACCCTGTGAAGTGGAGGACAGTGGGCAGGGCCAGGCCAACGTCAGGAGAGCAGTTACAGGTCAGCAAGGAGGCATCCAGGCTCCAGACGAGCCAGCTCGGCCCAGCTCAGCCCAGCAGAGTCGCCAGGTGTGTTCTGAGGACATTATTCCCAAATACATTTACACAACAGTTCCACCTACCGCTCCAAGCATGATCCTGAAGATCAGCCAGCGGAAGCCCCACAGGACAATTCGGGATGTGGGGGTGTGCTTAGGGAGGCGGGACAGCGTCCAGAGAGGGCACAGAAAGATTCCCAGGAATCCTGTTTCCAGCAGCTGTGACTCCCATCCTGCAGTGGGGGGTGGGGGTGGGGTGGGGAGCAAGAGGAGACACAAAGAGGAAGGTCAGTGGGGTCAATTGTTTACAAAGCAATCACCCCCAAAGTTCAGCCTGACCAAGAAGTCCTTAAAATGAGACTGAGACGTAAGACAAGCAAATGCCGCCATGTGTCTTCACAGGAAACAAGATGCAGATCTCTAAGTGGGGTAACCCAGAGCCTGAGACCAGGGAATTCTGCAACCTCAGGTTCCCTGGTTTTGAACAGGAAAGACCTGTGCTGCCCAGTTCAGATGATGGTCGCCATCCTGTGCGGGATGCGGCGTAAACATCATATCTGAACCCCACACTTGGGTGTGCACTGCCCGTGGGCATTTGTGGAAAGTCTTTTGTTTTTAGGTTTATGTGAAAAATCACAGCTTTGAATGCTCTTCCCGAGGAGTGTTTACCAGCACAGACACAGGTACAACATACACAAACTCTGGGGGAGCGGCTCCCACTCGGGCCCGGGCCAATGAGTCAGGCAAAGCTGGCACCCAGGATCAGCAAACCCAGCGATTCATGAGCCCCCGAGAGGGCAGACCGCGCTGTGTCTGTTGTGGACACTGGCTATTCTTCCAGGGGGGACTCGGCACAGGAAATGCCGTGAGAACAGCCCACAGGTGAGCCCCGCATTCCCAAAGACTGAAAGAGGGGAGTCCTGGGGCACAGAAGGCCCCACTGCTGGGTATCGCCTCACCACCTGAGGGGTGGTGGTGACTCCCTCTCCCTGCCAGGTCTCAGGACGGCAGGCAGAGCTGTGCTAGCCTCTTGTGCTGACTCGTTCACAGTGGCAGCAGTAACTGTGCACACGTGTACGAGGAAGGGGCAGTCAGGAGGGGCAGTCAGGAGGGGCAGTCAGGAGGGGCAGTCAGGAGGGGCAGTCAGGAGGGGCGCAGGAGGAAGTAGTGGAGGACAGAGGTGCAGGGAACTCCCTGAGCTCCTTTTTTCTATACAAGTCATTTTAGAACTGAAAGTTTATAAAATAGCTAATGATCACGACGTTACAATACTGTGTGAAGCAGCACACACGAGTCTACACTGACAGAACCAACAGTTGACTTAACAGATATGCAGGACCAGATGCAGATTTCCCAGAACAATGCCTCAGAGTGTCAGGTCACGGTCCTCTGCAGGTAGAGGCTGCCCGGCACCATCTTGCCATGGCATGGGGGTAGGGCCATCTACGGTGGCCATCCCAAGTGGTCAAAGTCAACTCAGTGAGGTTTACAGTGTGTGTCAAAGAAGGTAAAGGAGTTGCTACCGCTCCCAAACCCACATCAGCCTACCCTGGGGAAGACAAAAGCCAGGCCCCATGGAGGGGTCTCCACTGACTCTGAGCAGCACATCAAACTATCAAGGCTTCAAAGCCAAGGGGAGACAAAAAGTACCAGCCTGGAGCCGCTGAAATGTGGTGACTAAATGTCACCTGGGGTCCTGGGTCAGCAAAAGCCAACAAAGAAAAATTTAAGGGAAACAGAGGAAATATGAATCGTGTGGGCATCAGTCAATTAGAAATGTGGCGAAGGTAGCGTATGAGTGAGTGTGAGGACTAACCACAAGGGATCTGGTGTCGAAATGTGGGAGCCAGGTATATTTTCATAATATCCCCGTAGATCTCAACAGCTCTACAACAGAAAACCCATTCCTGGCCATCAGCATCCTGTTGCTGCGCCCCACCCCCATGTACTCCTCATGCACCACCCTCAAAGGACTGCGCCCTAAGCCACAGGCTCTACTTGGCTTTGGGCCCCTTGCTAGGCCCCCACGGCGAGTCTGCCGGCCCCTCTCTGCCTGTGCTAGGGTCTTCATTGGTCCGTTTCAACAGCTGCCTCCCTGGAAGCCATCCACTTGATGAGGAGGGCACAGCTAGCAAAGTGACAAGCCATAGGCTGGTCCTGACAGGCACTGCCTGCTCTGGGAGCTACCGTGGGACGGACAAGCGGTCACGATCAGGGCTTCAGTGAGTGCCGAAGCTGGGCTGTGGCCACAGCAGCTGGAACTCGCTGAGCTGGACAGCCACATGTGTCCGGTGGAGCTGGGCCTCTTGTGCCAAGTTTCCCTGCTCTTGGCACGAGTCCAAGGCTAAGTAAGCGTTTGTGAATTGTCACCAAAGGGCTGAGGGAGAGCTACAAACCCAGAAAAAATAGCAAGGCCCCCATTTAATGATTTAACACTGCCGTTTCTAAACGGCATCTGGGATGGGATGGCTTCTGGGTGTCCTTGGCCTGGCTGCTTCTGCTGCTGTCCATACCCAGTGAAGGAGCTTGTGTCTCTCTGTGCATTGCATGATTTAATCTTGTCCTGCTGGCACTCAAAAAACGGGCTGAGCAATATCGCCCCCCCCCCCAACAGTCCCCCTTTCCACGTGGGTGCTTCCCCCTTGTACAACAATCCCTCTGGTTTTTCCTTGGGATAATTTATATCAATTTGGGATACATTTCACATGGCTGTGCCTGATACCCCGTGGAATTTCATGGTGGGGGTGTTAGTGTCCGTGGATCGGGGAAGCATCTGGTAATCACCATGAGAGCCACAAGCAGCAACCATTTTGAGGAAGAACCTTAGTGACCACCTCCTCCAATCCCCTCCTCTACTGGGCAAGTGAAAGAATTCAGAAGCCCGGAGGCCACAGAGCAAATCTAGGGCCACAGAGTGAGTCCACCCCATACCATATCGAGCAAGCTAAACACCAGTTTGCCCCACACCCACCAAGCTGCCCCCCCCCTTGCTGGGACCCATTTGCTAGCCCTGGGGCAGGGTAGAGCTGGCACCGTGACAGATGCCACACACAGTCTCAGAGCTTTTAGGGGACACATTCCCCAGAGCTTAGAGCCTGCCTAATTGCCACCTCGATCTGCAGACATAGGAATGGAATTTTAACATGCAGTGCAGTGAGTGACACCAATCAAAGTGATTGATACACAATGGCAGAACCCAGAAATGCATCCAAGTGCCAAGAGAGGCAGGGTGACAGGGCTGGGGGTGGGGTGCATGACAGGGCAGGGCAGGGTGACAAGAGACAAGCTGTCTATACCAGGAAGGAGGGTGCGTGTGAGACCCTCCCCCATGGCCTTCAGAGGGGATGGGATGTTCCTGTCCTACTTGGATAGAGATTGCTGAGCCAAGGCCTGGGGAGCTCTTCCAACTGGACCCTCTGCCTTGCCCCAGTTCATGGACTGGCTGTGGCCCACTGGGGTCTTTCTGACAGAAGCTGGGCCTGCCCTGGTGGCAGTGGCCTGTGACAAACACCCAGGGAAGGAAGGGCTGCTGACCTCCCACCTGCTTGTCCTCTTTGCCTGGATCTGTGGTGTCTCAGCAGCTGCACCGTGTGCACAAGGAAGGCCATTGTTCCCCGCTTCAGCATGGCAGGAGATGAGTCCCCAGAAAAAATAAATAACCAGCACTTTGCCAGGGGCCAAGTGACCCAGTGAGGGTGGGTGGGTGGCTGGCCACTCTTGCCCAGTGTACCAATCTTATGCCGTGGCCAGAGGGGATGGATCCTTCCACAGGAGACAGACAGCTACAACTGTGGACAAGTACAACCCTGTGCAATTGCATTCCGAACAGCCCCCTCCCACTGCCTGTGCCTGTGAGCCAAGGCCTCTCTACAGGGGCAGCTAGGGAGGGTCTTGCCTACTGTCTAGGTCTCTGCAGACAGTTCTGTGCTTGCCTAGCACATGCTTTGGGTAATAGGGGCACAATCTCAACAGTGTCCTATCGGGCAGCTGTCAGGAGAGGCCTGTGAGGGGTCTTGAGTGACAGCGCTGTGTGGACTGCTTTTATGTGGTGCACACAGCTGGTTCTAGAACCTTCGCTTCAGTGTCTGCCTCTCATTTCCAGTCACACAGTTGAGCACTGAACCAGTTGTACCTAGGAAGCTGTACATGTGGAATGGTACCATACAACTTCTCCAAACAGCTTAGGGAAGCTCTCCATTCAGAGCTGTTTTTGGGAGGTACAGGCAAAAGGCTTGGGTGGCTCCAGCAATCATCCTCACAGATGAGATCAGATGCACCAGGGTATGCTCCTAAGAGGGAGTGAATGTCTCATGTACTTACTGGGAGCATATGCGAAGCCCTAGGTAAGATCTCCAGCACGGCATCCATAGACTGAGCATCAATGTACATACTTGTAATTCTAGCACTCTGGAGATAGCGGCAGGAGGATTAGGAATTCAAGGTCATCCTCAGCTACAGAGTGGGTTTAGGCCAGTTTGGACAACTTAGTGTATGTAATCCTGTTTCAAGAATAAGAGTCAGGTGAAGCTGGGTGGTGGTGGTGCACACCTTTAATCCCAGCACTCAGGAGGCAGAGGCAGGCAGATCTCTGAGTTTGAGGCCAGCCTGGGCTACAGAGGGAGTTCTAAGACAGCCAGGACTACACAGAGAAACCCTGTCTCTAAAAACCAACAAAGGGGTGGTTAGAAGAGAGGGAGAAGGAACAATGGGGTGGTGGAAGCAAGAATAAGAACGAGAGAGGGAGAGAGAGGGGGAAAACTACAGCTATTTCAACACTAACTTCCCAGTAACAAATGGAAATGGCCTAGCTGAACAGTGGGGAAAGAAGGGTGTGTTATCACCGGGGTGATGAGAGGCCAGGCAATCTGGCCACATCCCCATGCTGTGTCTGAGGAAACACTCAGGGTGTGCCAGCCTCACTTTCCTACATGCTGTTCCCAGCGATCACTGGGGCTTCCCAGAGCCAGCTCTGGAGCCTTCCTACCTTCCTTCCAGCCTGGGTGAGGAGGAGCACACTGCTGTGGACTCACAGGGAGGATGGGGTTCCCCTGAACTAAGTTTCTAAGTGCAAACACTAACGGCACGAGGAAATGGAAGCAGAGACCACGTGGTTCTCCACCCAAGGCCACCAGAACCAGGAGCTCCATCTGGGCGTCTCCCTCATGCTATCCACGAGGCTCAGGTGTCTACAGAGACTGGACACAACCAGGAGAAAACAGATGTAAGGCAGAGC